ATAATAGTAGACTACCTAATTTCAAGAACTTCTCTCACTGAAGTCAACTAAAAAGGTCGGATTAATAAAAACAAAAACATCACATAAGCAATAAAAATATAACACAAGAGTAAAAAATTAACCAGTCACACTCTAAGGGAAGACAAGAAACCCTGTGGGACCACCTAATAAAGCCTTTTATTTTTGCCCAGAGGGCATATACTATCTGGAAGAAATAGCTATGAAACTAAGTTGCAATTTCGGTGGCTGCATGGAGCTAGTAGAATGAACTATATATATTCACAGCGTAAAAGGTGAACCAAAGGCATATGAACTTTCCCATAATCTAGCTCTTACAGAGCCTGACTTTGTGTCATCTAGTAGACTAAGAAAATACAAATCTGGAATTTGGGTTTAACATGTTCTAAACTGGTAGAACTCTTACTCATCTGGCAGAAGTAAATGAAAATCCTATGGGAAAAGATACTATCCTAGGTTTCAAAATAGTGCTACAATAGTTTTCAAATATAATGTCGAAAAATAACGTACTATTAAACATCTAGGCAAATAAAACAAGATACCATGAATAAGAAGTAGGGAAAGCAACTATCAATAAGCCCAGACCCACAATTATTTGGAATTATCAGAAGGAGAATATATAAATAACTATGTAGACCATATTTAAGGAAATAATAGTCAAACAAGCTATGAGAAACAATAAAAAGCGTATCTGAAAAAGAACCAACAGAAATTCTAGATCTGAAAAATATACAACCAAAATTAAGACTTCAGTAAATGGGGTTAGTAACTGAGAAAATGAGTAAACTAGAAGTTGGGTGAAAATAAATTAACTGAAATGTAGCATCAACAGACAGAAAACTGAGAAGAAATGGTTAAAAAAAAAAAAAAAAAACCTAGAGGACACAGTGAGAAGGATTTAACATACATTTAGTTCCAAAAGAAAGAGAATGAGGCAGAAGAAATAGCTGTGAGACAATGGCTAGGAAATTTCCAATGCCCAGCAGAGATCCCAAACTTGACAACAGTAAAAAAATAAATTCCCACCCATATAGCAAAACTTTAGAAAACTAGAGATAAAATTAAGTAAATATATGAAAAGTAATCGGGAAATACAGAACAGCTTATTTTAAAATGATTAACAGCTGAACTTAGAAGAATAATGAGACAACTGGTGGCTGGGGGCCCTTAAATAGGTTCAGGATGGGAGCTGATCACTAGAAAAACTAACACATGATTAGAGGACTACAACTTCTAGCTCCCCTCCCCACCATCCCTACTATAAGTTTATCCTAGAAGTTCATCCCTTCTATAAGTTTATAAGACCAAAGGGAGGGGGAAAAGAGCTTGAGATTGAGTTAACCACCAATGTCCAGTGATTTAATCAATCATGCCTATGTAATAAAACTTCCATAATAATGTCTAAGCAATGGGGGTTCAAAGAGCTTCCAGGCTGGTAAACACATCAAGATGCTGGGAGGGCGGTGCACTCTGAGAGGGCAGGGAAGCTCCATGCCACCTTCTTCCCTGCATAACTTGCATGTCTTTCCATTTGTCTGTTCCTGAGTTATGTCCTTTATTTATTTTAAAGATTTTATTTATTTATCATTTGAGAAAGGGAGGGGGAGCAAAAGGAGAGAGGGACAAGCAGACTGCGCTTAGCACAGAGCCTGGTGTGGAGCTCTATTACAGGACGCTGAGATTATGACCTGAGCCAAAATCAAGACTTGGACACTCAATTGACTAAGCCACCCCGGTGCCTTCTGAGTTATGTCCTTTATAATGAACTGTGAAAGTCATATGTTTTCCCTGAGTTCTGTAGGCTCTCCTAAGAAATTATTGAGTTTGAAGAGGGTGTTGTGGGAACCCTCGATTTATAGCCAGTTGGTCAGAATTACAAGTGACTCAATACTTGTAACTGGCATCTGAAGTGTGGGGACTGAGCTCTTTAACCTAAGGAGTCTGCTGCTAACTCTAGGTAGTTAATGTTAGAATTGAATCCAATTCCTGGATACCCAGATTGCACCTGGAGAATGAGAAAATTTGCTGTTGGTATTGGAAAAAGCTCCAGATCTAGTATTCAAAGCTTAGTCTATACATTGCACCACTCAAATTTAAAACTGGGAAAGCAGAATACATTATATTACATACAATCATAGGTACACTGAAATGATAAGACAAGAGAAAGAAATATAACAAGCTATTACAAGTAAATGTCTTTGAGTGATTATACCAAGGTAATGTCTCCATTTTTTACTTTTTCGTTTTCGTAATAGTTCCAAAATGAGCATATAATAAACTTTCTTAGGAAAAAAAAATCAAAGCTATCTTTAAGACTAATAGATTTTAACTATACAGTTCTTGAGTTTATATGCATGTCCATAAGAAAAATCTATTAAATTACTACTGAAAAACTATCATTTCCTTAACCAATAATTAAATGTGAACTCCAAAATAGAGATATTCGCTACACCAACATTCTAATATATTCTAAAGAAGCATAGTAGAAAATATTACTTTTAGAGAAGTTAACCTTTTTGTTTTGATGCTGTTAAATAAATCAATACTTTTAATCAGATTTTTTTAAAAAAGAAAAAACTCTAATACTGTAAAAGCTCAAATATTTTAGATAATGATAAAAAAAAGAATTAAAAGAAAATTAGGCAATAGTCAATACTGAATCATGCCATATTCTGATACCATGTAACTTGAGACAATATAATTTCTTTTCTAGTGCAAGCCAAACGAAAATAAGTCTTAATTCTCTAGTTGTCAACTAAAAGATAAACTTGGCTTCCAAAAGAATTTTTAAAAATTTGAAACCTAAATATCTTTACCATGAATAGTGTTTTTTACTTTACTTTACTTTCCAGGAATCCCTCTAGTTTACTGTTTTTAATCTTAAATTTTCCATTTAATTCTTCTCACATGTAGAAAAAGAAATGCTTATTTTAAATAGCTTAACAAAAAAATTTAATATAGATTTGCTTATAAAATCTGTGATCAAACTACCTATTCTATCTGTATTCTGACATCTTGATCGTTTGCTTAATAAAAGTCACAGAATTATAAAGATTAGAGCTGAAAGGGGTTATAGTGATTGCTAGTCTTTCCCTCCCCAAACTGTAATTTTTAAAAAATTTCTGAACTCTACTTGCTATGTAAGTAATTCTTCCAATTTAAAAAATATATTCATTTATAACTATGAATGAAACATGCTCCGTAGGAGACAACTAGTATATACAGACTTCGTATAATTTTAGTTGGAAGTAAAGAAATCTGAAATTTTAATTAGTTTCATATTTATAGAGAAATACAGTTGCATTAGGCATTTCAAAATATAAAAGTAACTTAGAAGTACTTTTCCCTTATCTAGTACCCCAGAGATCCGGAGACCCTTGGTTAATAAGAATGATCCATCTAATCCAACTTCTTAATTTCCTATATAAGGTATACAAATAAAGTAACCTGCTAAGTATAAGCAGTTTAAATAAAATAAAACACAACCTCAAGTGGACTATTTCCACCAGTGATAAAAATAAGAAATGCTTCACAATATAGACATTATAATTTTCTTTTAAGTCTTTTTTATTTAGAGATTTTTCTGGTAAGGAGATATACCATAGGAAAGCAATTTCACTGGCAGTGAGGTATGTATATACTCTACCAAAATACTCCTTATTTTAACTGTTTTTAACTTTATTTACATTTGAAGAAAATTATCAATGCATATCCTTATTTCAACTATAGTATTAGCCATACTACATGAAATAAAATGAAATGGTGCTTGCATACAAAAACTATTATTTGTAAAGGAATCTGACTGTAGATTAAAAGAAATATTTTGTTTTTGGAAAGAGTTTAAAAGAATCACAATTTATCATGACCAAGACATCTGCACCATATTTTCCATTCCTCACAGCACATTTATTTCAGTAATTCCGTTATGTCGATTCTTAGCATGAGCATAGTGTTACACGATTTTCGTACATATAATCACATCCAAAACAAGTTCTAAAATTTAAATTGTAAACATTCTCATCATACGTAGAAATATTTCAATTGGTGTATTAAGTTTTGCTAACTGATCAAATTTGGAATATAAATGAGAAAGCCTATTCTAAGTTGTGTAGTGAGCATTGTTTATTAATTACATTTCTACAATGTTAAATAAAGTAAGAGGCAAACCTGTCCTGTAAGCATGTCAAAGTTTAGGTAAAACATTAAAAAGAAACAAATCTGTTAACAAAAGGATGTCTTGCAATAAAGAACATTAGATTTTTTAAATCTATTATGATACAAAAATGTAAAGGGTAAATAGCATCTTTGTTGACAAAGTAGGAGGTAGCATGGATGCACCACTTTATTGTCTGAGAAATGCAACTGGAGTAAAGAATATTTCCTTACCACAAATAATTTCCAGGACTATGTACATATTTCTTTTAGAAATACTTGTTTAAACAAATCTCCCTCCACTTTTTAGTATAAAAAAAACCGTTCCATGTGATTTTAAAAAAACACTTACACATCTAGATAGAATAGTACTCTGCCCTATTTGAGTGAACAGTCTCAAACTATGAAGTACATGATATTTAATGCCCTAAGTTGAGTAAATTTAGTTTAGCGGTTCCTGGTATTATACAAAACACTAAATACATACAAACAAAATATAATATCTTATTTTTCAATGCAAGTCTTGTGGGGAATAAAGAGAACCTTGATTCCGGTAACACTGAAGAAAATGTAATTTTCCAATTAAGTCTGTCTATCCATGTGTAACAGTTTACTAATGACTGCTTACATGTACTGATCTTTCATTGAGTGAACACAGTTAACTGACAAAACTTAGTAAACCTTAAAAACACATCCTCCATCCTATATAAAATATATAGACTACTTACTGTTTGAAGTACTCAGTTTGCTCTGATGTCACTGTAATTCACTTTTCCCCATTTTCCTGCTTTAGTATTTATAAACGGATAATTTAACGTGGCTTTAAAAAAAAAGACAAAGAATTTCAAATTTACATCCAATTTAAATTTGCTATTTAAAAGGTTTCCTTGTTCTATGAAGCTGCTTCTGCCATTAGTAGAGAAAATGAAGTTTCTGTAATGGAGGCAGGCTTTTTAAGTAGTGACGTGACTTCCACCATGCCAGCTCCAGTCCGTGGAAGATTAGCGTTTACAATGTGTCGTTGTAAGTGCTTAATCCAGTCTTCCTGAACAGACAGTGGTCCACGAAAGACTAGGCCACAAAACCTATAGAAGAAGTTGATAACAGTTCTCTTAACATGACCAATTCCCTTTATTTAAAACCAATTCACATAAAATCCATATACATAAGAAGTAGGCTTCACTATATCTTGGAGATACTATCACAAACTGGACTACTTAACAAAAGTTCTTAAATACATATAAAGTCAAAATTATTTAATACAATATAAAACTGCCAATTCATGTGCTTAACAGCTATATTACCTGTAGTAATATTTGTAGAGGTAGAACCATTATTATTAAATTAAAATTAATTAAAAGGTCTTAATACCTATACAACTCAATACATTTAAAACAACTATAATACCAAAATGTACCATTCTTTTCAAATGACCCTTCCCCAACTCAGAATTCCTTAAACTGCATGAGGATGAGTAGAGAAGAAGGTGGGAATAAGTTTGTATAGCTACACTTAGAAGTATGAGTGGAGAGAAATGTATTCCCAAGAAATAGAAACGCAAGACAAATTAAAATTTTTTCAAACCAAACCAAAGTACATAAATGCAAAAGCAAAGCAAATAAATAAAACACCACAACAAAAAAGCTCCTTTCATAAATCACAGTATCATCAAAGTTCTGATATAATATAAAAAATTTATTCATCTGTTGTGAAATAGTGTATTATGAGCTAAGTAAGATTTTAAGCCTGTCTTCAAAACTTCATTTATAACTTGATAGCTGAGAATGCACCTTCTGCCACAAATTAAAAATCCCTAATATGTCTCAAAGCAAAATCTGAAGAAACAGAGCAGATACGGCAACATAAGCACATACCTGCATCGGAGAATGTAAACCTCGTCAGCACCATGAGGTAATGACAGCATCTTCTTCTTGCTTCCAGATCTTGACCTTGATTTCTTTTGCTTACAATCTAAGGCTAAAAAAGGGAAGAGAAAGACTTAGCATTTCATATATATTCTAAAATAGAAATACATACTTCTAGAGAGGTCAGACCATCTAAACCAAGTTAGAAAAAGTCTATATTCATTTGTATTCCCTGAAGCATGCACTAAACTTGCAGCTGGGTCTTTATTATTATCTGTATGCATTCGTCCTGCACTACTTTTCAAATAATGCTTTATCATATACCAAACTAGAACTGAGAGAATGTAACTAAACTCGAAATTACTAAATTGTCCAATTATCACAATGATAATCTTTCCTCTTATGATCGTAAGTATGTTATTTTCATATCTAATTACTCTTCCTTATTTCCAGGAAATTACAACCCTTTATTTAAGATCATTAAATTAAGTTTCCATCTGATTACTATTCCATTAAGTAGGTCTCATATGCTTTGAAAACTTAGTAAAGAATCATCAACATCATAAAAAGTCAATGAGAAATCAATTTTATAGCAAATACGTATCAAATAGCTCTTAAAATTATATGCTGGCCCAACATTTGGAAGGGCAAAAAAAGCTCAACTCTCATTTTTTTAAAACTCAACCTGTATTTCATGTACAGTAATGTTTTATTTTATTAAGAAATAAATGTAAATCCAGATTATCTCACATAAATTTACAAATGGACTGGAAACGTAATGCTAATTATTCTTTACATTTTTAAAATAATTTTACATTTTCTCCTACAACTTATTTTTAAAATGTGATTAAAGGAGGAAAAAGATTTTTATATTAAAAGTGGATCAAAACTTTGTGCTGTTCTTGAAATTTTTCTATTACTTGACTTCTCCTTCAATCACGTATTCTAAAAAATCTAATTTAATAAAGGGAAAAAAGGTATTTTTTTTATAAGTAGGAATGATAGGACATAACATTTTATTGGTCTTTGAATATAACTACACCATTCCTTCGGACAAAGGGATGACAATATTCCAGGGTGCTGCTGGTCAATTAGCAGGAAGAGAAGGTAAGAGTTTATCTCTAGGGATCTAAGGGGGAGGGAAACAAATGTAACAGAAAAGTTACACAAATGGCTTTTCTTCTGTTAACCTGTCACATGAAATCCCCTAAAATTCTAGGTAAGAGAGAATAGGAACTGGCTATTCAAGGATTCTATGAAATGAGTTGTTCCAAGTCCAGATTCCAAAAGAATAGATGCTACTATTACAAAACCAGTAAACACAGTTCCTTACAGTAGTCAAGTGGCAATGCTAACAGAAATGTCATATAGAAAATTAAAAACCATGAGAAGCCTAGATAAATCTCATTCAAGCCGCTGCTTTCTGTTTCTTGTCACCTGCCTCTTTAAAAGTAAAAATCCTGCTTGGGCCCAGAGTATTCCCTTGCTTATGCTCAGAAGAAGAATCTAGTAAGTAAAGAACTGCAGGAAATCAAGTTAAGAATGGCGAATTTAAAGCTAAACAACCAAAATCTGGAATAGAAAAATCTTACAAATTATTAATTATATCAATCAAGAGCCTGGCACATAGAAACTCAACAAATATTTCTGGTGTAAAAAACAAAGGAAAACCCAAATTTTTAACCTTTGACATTTAGACAGCATATGAATGGAAATTTGTTCTACCACTATGCAATACAGGTAGCATTCCTGCAAAACACCTATGGGTCATTTGTTTAAATGAGTATGTTGCTAACAGTCACATAGAAATTCTTCATTGATCAGTCTACAGATGTGGAAACTAAGTTCTTCACAACCAGTAGGAAGAGTGAGGTATCAAGTACTTTGTAATTAGTACCTTCTGTTTCCTAGTTGCACTGGTAAGCAATCTGAATTTAAGTGGATTTTAAAGCATAGAGCAATTCATACACTAGAAGTAAAGAGTTTAGGGAACTCAAAGGGTTAAGTGCTACTAGATGTCAGCTATTCTTTCCCTATCTAAAAGGTAAACCACACACACAATCCCTGTCTTTGTTATGTGGAACAGAGTAAGCATTTGGTTTATCATGAGATTATAGGGAGAATCTTACTTTGATGAGCTTGCTGGTTGTCAAAATTGCCACAGTGTATTCAAATTCCTTTTAAAATGTAAATAAATTACTGTAGGATACAAACAGAATGCATTATAACAATCCTTTAAAAATCTGTTCACAGAATGCTAATGTTAAATGTGTAAAGCAAATTGAGGGAAAAGGGCAGAGGGTGATGGGCAAGTAGGCAATAGAATGTTTTGTCAGTTATATTTAGATGCTATAATTTTTAAAAAATGGAAATGGACATTTGAGATATAGAAATGTTTTGACTTTAATACAGGAAAAAGAAATTTTCTGACTTTTGATGTTGTATGGGCTCTAGAAACCGAGGTTTTATGAATGATCAGATCTAAATTTTAAATGACAATGTCACAGGCTTTCATAGTAATTTAATTTTTGAAAGTATGACTTTGGAAAGTAGGAGAACTCTGCCAGCATATGATTGAGAATCTCCATTACCCAGGATTCCAAGTAAGTTTAGAGAACCACATGCATTGGGCATCCTTGGAAGTTTGTCCATAAAGTAAGGATATGAAAAACTTGGGACCTCGGGTAGTTACACCTAAATACCTTGGTGTCTTAATATCTCCATGATCATTTTTAAATTTCTTATCCCCTGAAACATCACTTATTTATTTTAGATGGTAAAACATGAATACATTTTACAAGAATAGTTTTTTCTAATACCAACATCCAAACTTCACCCCTGCATTACTGCCCAAACATTTTAGAAAAATCTGCAAAAAAATGAGTATTTAATATGTTAATATGCACACAAAGGGGACATCCATATAGTATTTTCTACATGAAAAAGATGATTTACACAAAATGTTCCACTAAATGAAAAAGATGATGCACAAACATATTATACAAATGTTCTCATTCAACAATTTTTATTGTATCTAAAGGGAAAAGCAGTTTTATTCTGGCCTGCACCAGGAGTCACTAGAACATTAAAAACAGAACACTAACCCATCCAGTTTTAGTATAATGGGGCTTATCAATATTTGTGATAAATAGCCAAAGGTTTAACAAAGTTGTTTATATTAATAATCTGCCAAATACATAACTTTATATAAAGTCTTTCTTTGTAACAGGATTTTATTTGTTAGTGTCAAAAAGTAAAAACACGCACACTTTTTTATCTCTTCCAAAATATTTTAAATCTACCAATGTTTCTATACTTAAAATTTACACAAAATACTAGACTGGTTTTAGAATCTTGATTTTCTTCTCCTGGAGTTTAACTGCATTTTAGAAAGGAACAAAATCATTCAAACCGTCCTAAGGCACCTATGGGGGGGGGGGGCTGAAAAGTGATCAATTTTAACTAGAAGACTGTTGAAAACATCTTTGCAGTTATCTGATTTATAAAGGATCTGATTTGCTACTGAGAGTATTTTACTTGTAAGGAGAATAAATTATCCTGTAAGGCTATATACAAAGTTTTAGAGTATACCTTTCCTTTCAGTAAAACAGCTGTTTGATCAAATAGGAATGAAAGAGAAATAGAGTAGACTTATGGATGCTCAAAAAGAACACCATACTGCTATGCTACAAAATACAACAACAGCAAAAGCAAGAACAACAACAACAAATGTGTCTAAAGCACTAAACCAAATCAGTTAAAAGCAAATCAATGAGTAACACAAGAGATACAAATTTGAGTTTGTTTTCTGAGCCTTATTTAGTTTTATACCTAGAAGAAAAAGAATTTACTTTGGGCTCCAACAATAAGTCCTTTTGACCTTTCCACCTTTCTTCCCATTACATACATCTGTTTGAATTTCATTTTCTTTTTAGTTCACTACACAAATGACCTCCAAATACGAGAATTTATTTCTTAGAAACATCTGAAGCTTCAGTGTGGTAAAGAAGCACATCATAACTAAGTTGACATTTACCTCCAAAATATTTTTATTTGCAGTCATCCTCTCCTACAATTGAAAGTCCCATCTCATTTGTTTTGTTCCTAGCTGGTTTTTGGCATCTCTGGAGTAAAGTGAAAATTAATACAATGGCTAGGTTATATACATCCAAAATAAGAGGTATGGTATAGCTCTACTAGAGGGTAGAAAAGGTCTTCTTCATCTAGTTGGCCTGTATAAGATGGTAGGCAGCAACAACAGCTAAGAACTCATTCAGGAAGACAGTAAGAATAAAAAGATGGAAGCATGTAAGACCTCATTCCACCACCATTAACACACTGGTAGTGGGGTAAGTTACGGCAATGCAAAAGTTGGGAGGAGAATGCATATGTCCCAAGGGGCACAGAAATTTGAGATGATAAATAAACTCAGTTCTAGTTGCTATAATTAATCCTTCAAAGTTCATAAGTCCCAATCATATAAAGAACTGTGCAAAGAGCATTTTCTTTCCCTCAGCCCCAACCAAAAGGGAACATCGCTTTTGGGGGGATGGGAGAAGAAACATGTTACCTTGTATAAAATAGGGATGGGGGAGAGAGGAAGCCAAATTCTTATTTCTTCAGTATACGCTCTTTTCTTTGCAAAAAGTGCCTATAAGACTTCATGGGTATATGACTTGTGCAGTCACATAGGATCCCATACTTGGTAAATACTGTTGTCGTATGCGGTCTTCAAATTCTTAATAGTTTTTTAACATGAGACGTTACATCTTCATTTTGCACTGGATCCTGCATATTACGTAGCGAGATCTGGTTCCTGAGTACCTGCCACTCTAAATGAGAAAGGCAGCCCCTCAGCTCCACCTCTTAATCTCTTGGCTCATTAAAAAAAATAGCTATTAAGAGAAAAATCATTAAATCCCAATCTCTATAGTCCATTAAAATGGAAAGGACTTTCCTACTCCCTATACCAATTTTTTGTTTCTAGGTATACTGCCATAATCAAAACAGTCATTATTCCCAAGATACATATAAAGCAGTTTAAGGGGTTTATTGTCATGGAAAGCAATGTTTCCCTTCTAATCAGAATTAAGCATATAGATAGATATACAA